CTCCTCCTCGCCTCCTCCTCCTCCTCCTCCTCCTCCTCCTCCTCCTCCTCCTCCTCCCCTTGCTCATGACCAACTCCCCTCTGTCGCCCCACCAGGCGTGTTCATAGGCTGGGCTGGGCCGGACATCATTGCCCCGAGGCGGATGTTCAATAGCTAAACGGTTGGAGGGCTGGTCGTTTCAACATGTAGCTCTCACTTTATCGCCGCTCATATTCTTGCTCAACTATTTCAAATATCTGCACGCACGGCAATCTAGGCGTCTTCAAATTGTGATTCTCGTCCTGGCGCCGCACACATTCGACTTTACATCTCGCCAACACGTGATACCACAATCTTACAATTGTTATGCAGTGGTACGGGTGAATGCCGATATGATCCCAGCATGTGCCTCTCGCCTGACGCCGAACACGTACTGCCACAATTGTCGACCACACAATGGCAAGCAGTGCCATGTGCAATAGCTACACGGGTGGAGGGCAATTGCTTTTCAGCATGGGGCTCCCATCTGTGACTTCGCATGGGTGTATGATTAGGTCTTTCAAGTTGTGCAACAACTGAACGGATACAGGGCGATCCCCCTTTCATAGCAGGGCTGCCGTGGAGGACTTCCTTGTCCTCATAAACCAACTCCACACGCGCGCTTCGTGCGCGCTCAAGTTCTATTCTGGGGCGTGTCAATGTCTAGACGGAAGCCCAAACTGCACGCTGCATTAGAACTGTCAGCACTTTCTTATTGACAGGCTCTGCAAGGTCGTGCGTGGCGCGCTTCGGCGCTATACTGCCCGCAGATAAGGTGTACCCATCCGTACATCCAACAGTTCGTACAACTGTACACTCAAGTTTGCCACCACGTGATTTGCACTCTGGATGTGCAAGTCATGTAGTGCAAACTGCGTCGTGCAAGTTCTGCTGTGCACGCAGCATGATATAAACTATGTGGTGCGAGCTATGCACTAAAAACTAAACGAAACCAGCTATGTGGCACATGTGATGCAAACAAGCTATGCAACATAAGCTATGCGGCGTAGGACTTGCGGTACCAGCTACGTATGCGGTGCAAGCTAATTGGTGCAAGACTTGTCTGAAACGCCAAGCACTCCATATTTGCATCCTTTGCAAGCGCCACACAAGCCATGCCCACCGCAACCCTTCCCGGCGGTGTGTTGCACTCATGAGCTTCAGGATTAATCCAGCGATAGCTTGACGGCCTGGAGCCAGCTGGACCCATGCTGGAGAGGCAACCTTGGGGGCTTCTGGAACCAGCTTCGGGCCAACAAATACTGAAGCGAAATTGGCATGCTTGTATGTCAGGGCGTCTCCGTGGGCGTCTTGGAAGCTCTCCTGGGGCCTCCGTGCCAGGGGCGGGGGGCTGCAGCGCTGGGAGAGGAGGATGAGGGAACTGGACGGGGAGGAGGGGCAGGAGGAAGATGGGCACGAGGAGGGGAGGGACGAATACCTACATCGGCGGCAAGCGAGGGGGGGAAATGAGAGGGAGAAAGCCTTCTCAAAAGGCGGCGGGACTTCTCAGAAACACTCCAGCCTTCTGAAAAATTGTCCGTGTCACCAGGGAAGGCTTAGGACACTTTTCAAAGTCGGGGGACTTCCGAGCCTTCTGAGAAGGCCTTGTCCTTCTCACTCCTCCTCCTCGCTCGCCGCCGAGTACAGGCTTCTTGGAGTCCCTGGGAGTCTCTTGGAGGTCCTTGGGAGCCCTGGGGGGCGTTTGGGGGGCATGCGGGGGTCTATGGTGGGCCTCTTGGAAACACGTGGGGGGTCAACTTGAAGGGCCATCTTGAGGGTGAATTTCCGAAGGGCAATTCGACTGATGTCTGTCTCGAAGCCCCGTTGGGGGCTTGGGCAATGCAGCCGTTGGGGCCTTCTTGGGGCGATCCTGGGGGCCTCTTGGGCCGTCTTGCGCTGGCTGCAGTCCTAAGAGGCGACAGCCAGAACATTTGCCAAACGTCATATGACAATCAATGAAGTTGGATTCTCGAGGCCCTGCTCGGAGCTCTCTTGGAACCCTCTTGGGGCGTCCAGCGGGCATCTTGGCCCGCCTTGCCGTCATCCTGGGCCGTCTTGGGGCGATCCTGGGGCCGGCTCGGGGGCTCTCCTTGGCCGTCCTGGAGTCAACTCGGGCCGTCTGGGCGCCCTCAAGGGCCGTACACGTCGGTCGGAAGAAGTAGGTAGAAACATGAAGTAGAAAGGCGGATACAGTAGATCGGGCCCAGGCCCTCCCAGAGAATAACAGAACGCAACAAAATCGTGTCGACTCTTGAGGTAGGAAGGCGCTTGAAGTAGACTGGGATCCTGGGAATCCAGAAATACCTACTTTCAACAACCGGCGGGTACCCGTTGGATGGGGGGAAGGAGGAGGAGGAGGAGGAGGAGGAGGAGGAGGAGGAGGAGGAGGAGGAGGAGGAGGACCCCTCCCCCTCCAACTTATGGTGGTGGTGGTGGAAAACGGGCCGAGCAATCGCGGGACGACACGTCGCAGCCGGGTCCAGGGCAGTGCCCGGGGGAGGGGGTTGGGGGGGAGCCTCGTGCTCAGCGGCTCGGGCAGATCTCAGAGGGAAGCCGCCCGGTGGCGCATTCCCGAGGGCTCGGAGAGGCCGTCTCCTGCAGGACACGGCTCCCGCCCGAGGCTGTGGGCCCCTGGGGGAAGCTCGTCTTTCCAGCGGGGCGCTGCCCGCGGCGCGACAGGAGCGCCTGCGTGCACGAATGAGCATGGGACTGTGGACGGGAAGCCCTGAGACCCCAGGACGTCCATGGATTTCTGGTGTGGGAACGCCGCGCGTTCCGCAGCAAAACAGGGCACCCTGGAGGCAAGCAGGGTGTTTGCTGGCATGGGTCTCCACTGTACTCTGGTCCTCCCCCTCCTCATTCTTTCACTCATTCATTCGTTGATTCACTCATTCATCGTAGTGGGGGGGCCGAGCGGTCATTCACTGTCCCTGGGTGCCTGGCTGAAGTTGGGTTCCGCGGTGCGGATTGTTTTTGCTGCTGCTGTTGTTTTTGTCGCCGTTGGATTCTCATTCTTGAAACCAAGTAGAGTTGATCCCCACCACAGGTGCACATGGTAGTTTGCAATCAAAATGCTCCTCCTGGGGCCCGCAGCCTTTTTTCATCAGGGAAATTCTTCGTGCTCAACTGGGTTGTTCCTCCCCCGGGCTACAACAACAACGGCTGCGGCCTGACACTTCTGAACAATGGACTCGCTCTCGCCCTGGACTTCCTCACAACGTATGCAGGAATCGCGCTCTGGCGTGGGACTTCCTCGCGATGTATTCAAACGCCGCGCCCTCGACAATCAGGCATCACGCTCTCGCTGCGGCCTCTCTCACGAGTTACTTGGGAACCTCAAAATAACTCGAAAATTCCTGGCGATTCCTGCAAGACTCACGCTTCATCAACCCACCTGCTTGACATGGCCGCCTGGACTCGCCTTCCCGATCCGCCCGCTAGGGTCTGCCCACCCGATCTACCCGCCTGGTCCTGCCACGTGTTTTCGGCTCCTAGCCACCCCTCCTACCACTGCCTCTCGTGCTCAATCCTTCTCCCCCCCGTGTTCTTCCACTGGCCTGACATGGCCCCATGAGGTCCCCCTGGAACTCCCAGGGGCGCATCTTTGGTCGTGTTGGGGGCTTTGGGGGCGGACCCGAGAGGCCAAAATCGTCAAACTCTGATTGATGCTCGTCTGATCTTAACATCGCCGCCCAAGAGGGGCCTAAAAAGCATCCAATACGGCCCGCCAGAGGCACAGATATGATATAGGGGACAATGGAGTGTACAACGGGTTCTGGGTGCAGCCCGTGTCTGGCAAGGTCTCTGGCGGGTAGGCGATGCGTCCAACGTTGCCTGCCATGGCCCCATGAGGTCGCCATGGGCCCCTCTGGGGCGTCTCTTTGGCCGTCTTGGGGGATTCGGGGGCGGACCAGAAAAGCCAACATCGTCAAACGAAACTGAGTTTTCGTATGAGTTTAGCTTCGCCGCCGTCTCGGCCCCAAGAACGCCGAGCACGGCCCAATAAGGCCCCACTATCGGCCAAAGGCGGCCCCAGAACGCCCAAAAGGGGCCCAAAAGGCCTCCAAGACGGCACAAGAGAGGCCCAGAAAAAATGGAAACTTACTGCACAACGGGTTCTGGAGTCGCGGGGCCGATGCATTGCGGGCGGGTCGCGAGGCGGGTGGGTCGCGGGTGGGTCGCAAACGTCGCGCTTGCCCACCCGCCCCCTCACTCTTATCCGCTACTACGGGGTGTATTTGTTCATGCGTTGAACTAGGAGAAGGTTGAAGCCAGAACTAGGAGAAGGAAACAAGATGAGGAGGATCAGAGCGCGCACACTGTAACGCTTCCAGGAAAACTCCGCACCACTGTAGCCAGTCCTCCTCCTCTTCCTCCTCCTCCTCCTTCTCCTCCTCATCCTCATCCTCCTCATCCACCCTCCTCTGCCTTGGAAGCAGGAGGAGGGAGAAGGCGCCTGAGGGATTTGACCTCCAGCCTCAACCTGTGCACCTCGTCCATCTCGCGCACGCAGCGCTCGAACTCCTGACTCGCCATGCTGTCGGGCTCTTGATGGCCGCTGACGGGTGGGAGTATGATGATGATGATGACGACGTCGACGATGATGATTATGGATGAGGGCGACGGCGCCGATGATGGAGACTGCGCGAGACCACAGACTATCTGAGCGGCGTGATGCGCCACGACGACGGCGATGATGTGCTAATCAAGAGGGAGAGGTCGCGGCCGCGCCTGGCCCCGCATGCGAGGCACCGACTATGATGACGATGATGATTGAAAAGATGAGGATGATGATGATGATGATGATGATGATGATGAGGAGGAGGATCAAGATGACGCAAATGATCACGCATGACGCCGAGAGACGTCGTTCGATCTTTGATGATTTCGATCAAGGTCTCACCAGCTGCATATTGGCGGGACCTTACTCCGGAGCAGTGCGAGTTGAAGCAATGGCAACTCAACATCGGCCCCTGGCAACG